GTATGCTTTTAAAAATAAAACAAGACAAACAAATTATGCCTCTTTTTTCCGTAAATGGTTTGCTTTTGAAAATGTTAAATATTATCTAGAAGAAACGATTTATGAAATCCTAGAAAATAATTATATCTTATACTTTGTCACTATAGGACAACCCTAGAAAACATGAACGTAAAAGCGTTATATTTCTCACTCTTAAGTTGGTTCATGTTTCATGCTTTTTAGGTCATAGTAAGGCTTCAAAACAATTATTATCCTACGTATATATAAATCAGTTGTAAAGGATTTTGAAAAGAACTGAATGTTCATCTTTTGAAAGAAAAACTACTCTAAAACTATGAACGCAAACAAAAATATTTAAAAAATGTTGACACCAACATTTTATAGAAGTTATGCCTTGGCTATTCATTCGTTTTATTTCATCATCTCATTCGAAAAAAAATTTTTGTTTGTTCTCGAGAGTATTAAAAAAATATTCAATATTGTTTACTATGCTATGTTATCGAACTATTCTAACACACAAACAAAATTCTCATGTGTATTAACGATGTTCATCTACACAAATACATTCATATGTAAAACATCAAATCTAACCTTGTTTTTGATCTTGTTAATTTATATTAAATGAAAACTGGATCGACTACACGATTTACAAAAGAATGAGGAGAAGATGATTCTGATGTTTGTGTTCTATAAAGATTGGGTATTAAACGTGTTAAACATATTTGACAATAATTTTTATGATAATAATTCGCACAAAGAAGTACCGACAGGAAAGTACATAAAAATAAAATACCACCAATATACCATGAATTAAATGGATTTTCTACATAAGATTTTTGAGTTGGCTGTAATGTTGTTATTAAAAATGTATTATTATTATTATTATTATTATCTAATATATTTGATAGATTCATATGATAAATAATTGTATATTATTTTGTATTAGAGAGATTGATTTCAATGTAAGGAATTGTTTTATTAGTTATTCACAGAATGAAAGCAAAAAAGAAAAAATGATAACGAATCGTTATAAAACTATTTGTCTCTGTCTCTAAGCTCGTTCTTTATTCTCATTGACTGACATGGAACTACTAAAACAACTTGTGTGTAAATGTCGATTTTTCATTTTCTTTTTTATTTGCTATATATACAATAAAAGACGAATAAGAATTACTAAAAAGTACTATAAATCTTTATATCCTTCATTCTAATGTATATTTATTAGATTGACAGTGAATAAATAAAAATCTAATGAAATTCTAAGCGTTAAGACTTATACGAATGATATGTAAATATATAATATTTGTTATATTTATATGTTAATTAATAATTAACACTTTTCTTCTTCATCATATTTTTCATTGTGAGACACAATCTAAAAGAGTATTAAATAAACAATAAGAGTACAAGTGTGAAGCTGCTCCCTCCGTAGATCATTATAGGTGCTAGCCAGAGACTATCATGGACTGTGATAGATATTAGCCAGGGACTATCATGGACCGTGACAGATATTAGCCAGAGACTGTCATGGACCGTGATAGATATTAGCCAGAGACCATCATAGATCATAACAATCGCTAATATACGATAACAGACTGTATATCAATGACGTCTTTTAATCGTATATTAATTATTTTCTTATTGTATTCCTACAGGATTGAGTACAAAGATGGCGAAGTAGTATGTCCTAAAATAGACATACTAAAACAATCTTCTACGATTAACAAGAGCAATTACATCATGTATCACATTTTAGTCCTACAGAGATTGCGCTAACAACTTTTTTCTTCAATTAAAATTGAATTATATTAATTTCAACCCATTTCGATTATACTAATGTAGAATCGATTTGTAGAAATCAGAGATTGTTCGATTGAATAAGTTTATTAATAAAATCATATATGAACTGATTGAATAATGACATATCAAAAAAGAATGTTGATGAATATAATGACGTGTCATGTTCTGAACACGGAATAATTATCATCTGTATTTTCATGTTATTATTGTTGAACTACAAGCAAAAGCTATTCTTCATTGTTATCCTAGAGAAAACTTTGATTGATTCGTCTTTTTTTAAATTTTCATCGTTTATGTACATCTTTTTACTGCAATTTCAAGACATCAATAATTTGGAAAAAAAAGATTACGATCTACTACAAAATATGAATATATTTTTGAAATAATAGGATAATGGATGCGCAGTAGAATTTTCCGATTTTTGCTAGACTCATTTCTCGAATCAGATTGGATCAGAAAGGTTCATTATGATCCTAATAGATAGAATGTTTTATCTAGATTTTATTGATAATACTCTTTTCAAAATAAGCATTTGTCTTTCATCTGTAGTATTAAAAGTACTGGACGCTACTAAAAAATCATTTATTTCACTGCTAAATGAAACAATGCTGAAAGTCAATTTTTTACATAGTTAATTGTAGTTCAAAAGTTTATTTTTGATAGTAAGAGATGTAAAATTTTTTAATGTATCTAGAGATTTGTTTGCTTTTAATAAGTGTAATTGTTTCTGCTTCAATAACATGACACAACTTCCCCCACCGGAGTTGTATTTTTCGTCGATAATATTCTTGAAAATTCGATTTACATAAAATATTTCTGTAGTATCACTTACTGCAGAATCTCAAGCTCTACAAAATGTTCTTCCTTATCTGAGCTCAAGTGCTTTTATCACCTAATGATCAGATTAAGATCTTTTGTGAACATAACAAGGCATCTAGAGTTGGCAATGAGACATTTTTTGCCAACAATATTTTAAATCACAAATTCTTTTTTTGAATCTTTGGTGTTCTGTCTTTAAAAGTCGATACGTTTCTGTTACTTTTTCATGCTACGGTTAAATAGCGTTTGTAAAATACTTTAATAAAGGAATACGACATTTTATTCCGATAAAATCAGTACCTTTGCTACTGAAAGACAACAACAAATGCATATTTTGAAGAGAATATATCAATAAGATCTACGCAAAACTCTCTACCTTTTAACATGAAAGCGAAATTTTATGATTCATTCTAACTCGATAAGAACATCATAACAATAATCAGATATTTTGCTGACTCGTACGGAAAAAAACCATTAACAGATGTGTCCAGTTCCTCTCTCCAAGATCAATCTATCGTTTTTTTTATGTCTTTTTCTAGGATTGATTGAAAAATTAATATGTTCTAAAGCTACTCGTTCATGTGATTATTTGTATAAGTTGTATCGATGGTTCTCGGAGAATTTCAACATAATTTTACAATCTACTATTCTTCTTCAGCATATACACAAAACGATTGAAGCCTAATTAGATCGTTATAATACTATACTTCGAAATAATTGTAATATTCCAAATGTTATTTCTGTAGATAATACTAAAGAACTATAGAAATGATATCCTATTTGTTTATTAAAGTTTTCAAAAATAATAATGCATATCATTTGATGCAACAGTAATATGATAAATGTTGATCATTTTATCGTTCTTTTTTGTAGACATGTTTAAAGACAAACAAAGAAAATGGTTTTCAACCCTAACAAGATCCTTTAAAAGAAGACCGATATAAAGAATTATTTTATTTCTTATTTTGATTTTAGTATGTCTCTATAAATAAGAGATAAAGGTCAAGATTCATATTATCCGTGTTAAGTCATATATAATTATAGTGAATATTTTTGAAAACTAACTGAATGCAATAATGTGATTATAATTTCTTATAAAAGTTGCAGTTATAACATCTGATATCCTTCAATTGCACAGTAGTATGTTGATTCAATAAATTGCATAAAATTTCGAAAACTATTGTTACAATATATTTAAAAATAATAATATCTTTCATTGTTTTAGAACTAGTGAAATTTATTGATATCATTCCGATACATATTTTGTAGGTCAAATGAAATTACAATTTCTTTGCAGATAATCATTTTCAAAGAAAATACGGAATATAATATGAATTAGATTTTTGAGTTCTTGTTTGATTGTATCGATGCAGAATCAAAAAGTTCAATCTATACAAGACTATCTTATTAGTGATAATAGATTATATCCATTGTAGCATGTAAGTAACAGTTCAACCAAATGGAGAAGAATCGTTTTATTTTACCGTATAAATTTTAGGAAGTATAAAAGTAGACTTAATTCAATTTCATTAATGAGAAAATAGAAGCCGATCTATGTCTCTAAGGATATTATCTTCTCTTTTCAGAATTTCAGAGGAATTTCTCATGAGAAAAATTTCAATACTTTGATCAACGTTATGATAGACTTCGATCTGTCAGACACTTTGTTAACAACAATCAGAAACATATATTGAAATATAGGGGTACACATTTAGACACTTCTCCTCCACAGATGTAGCACACACAACTATAGAAACGTTAGAGACAGTGGCAGACATCTTTGATATACGATTAAAGACGGTATACCAATAAATCTCGCTATAATGTATGAACTATTTCCTTCTTACATTTAATGAGGATTAAGTAAAAGGATAGTAGAGACAAGTGTCCTAAAATAAATGAAACAAAACAATGTCCCTGTGATCAGTAACAATAACTAAATCATGTTTCACGTTTTAATCCCACAGGAATTGCACTAACAACTTTATTCAGGAGAAATAAGATAATATAAAAACAAAAAAAAAATTCATATTTTATTTTGAACAAAGAGGTGACAAATTTATATTAATTTATTCGTTTGTTTCATTAATAGAAGCTTTTTTTTTCGTTGTGATTTTCATGTTCTCATGCAACATTTCTATTATTTATCTTTCGAAATATTTTTTTTTTGTTAATATCACATATTTTTCATATGATCATGTCTAGACAAGGAAGAAGAAAGCAGAACAGAATAGGAACATTTGGCTTTTTTCTTTTCGTTAAAAATAAAATATAATCATGAATAGTATAAAGGAAATATTTCTTTTGTTTTGACTATTTAAAAAAAAATCAAAAGATGATGAAGTAAAATAGGCACATATAAATGGAACTTATTAACTTTGTTAAAGTTCAAGAAATACAAGTTGATCAACAAGAAAACAATCAGCCGGTTTTTTAACAAATGCTTTAAGACCTTCAGTAATTTGTGCTTCATCAAAATTAGGATTTGTTTTTTGTGCTGTACGTTGTTGAACCAAATAGTCATAAACTTTTTCAAATGTAGATTCACCCAACAATTGTATAGCTTTTCTGAAATGATAAAATAATTCTATAGAACAAGATCAAAATCTCACATACGTTCGTAACGCATTTATTTTTGCATCTTTTGCGAATCGACCAAATGCATCTTTAGTTGGATCATCTCTTAATGTAGCACTAGCTAAAATATAAAATGATTTCGCTCTATAGATTTAATTATTAATTAGATTTACTATCATCAATGGGTAAATTTAATGAAGTCTTTTGTCTTGTTGCACTACCAATCGTTCTTGATGGTGACTTTGATTTTCTTTCTTTATTAAAATTAGCTGGATGATTTGGACCCATAGTTTGACTCAATGAATTCATTGTTGAGCGTTGTGAGCCAGACATTGCTCGTCGAGTTTTTGATGTTGCCTCATTTGTTTCTCGTTCACGTGTTGGACTATGATCATTAAATTGATTATTATAATATTTTGAATCACCTTCATCAAATCCTTCAGCTAGTTGTTTATAAGTTCCCCGCATTGGGGTTATAGGACGATCTTCAGTATTACCACCAAATGAAGTATTTCTAGCACCAGTACGATTATTAAATTTACCTTCATTGGAAAATTGAGTCGAGTCTGAAAAACAATATTCAAGAAAATCAAAGGTTTTCTGAAAAAAAACAACATGTTTCAGGAGCTATCACTATTCATTCAAATAAGTGAATATATCTATTGACTGAAGAGAAAATGTTTTAATTATATAAAAATAAAACTATAAACTTGAAGAGTACATCATCATTCTCAACTATTCTTTGGTCTAAGACTTGTCTTACTCTTGCCGAACTTTTTTCTATTGAACAAGTAATTGACGAGAGAGGTTCTCCAACTTATTGACCACTTTTGAGTTAGTACTATCATCATAATGTAGGTTCTAATATTTTATAAATATCTGAGAAAGAGTTCAGATCTATAGCTTGTTGCTGCAATAACTGTGTACTTTTATGACATGTTTTAATCAATACTGTGGTCCTCCTCAGTAGGAAACTATGGGTTCTTCGAAACCCAGGCGTAGGTCGCGTCTGGATTGGGGTCCACAAATACGCCAATCTCTAGCTTCCTAGCCCTTCGGAACATAAGGAAAAGTTATTTTCGCATTGCGAATTGAAATTTTATATAGAAATAGACCTTCACGGAAATATTTGATTGTGACAGTTCAGATCTTTTCATTATTTTTATCCTCAAATTTCACATTGATAGAGTCATATCTTTTACATTGCTCATACATACTATTTGATTCGACGTTCTCATTTGAAGATAGGAGTAAATCAAAAGACTTGAAGCTTCCATCATAAACTGCTCTCATCGAGATCTGTCTCTGTGCAAAGTTTCACGGCAAAATTCGAACATCAGTTTTTGCGGTGTTCTAGAGATCGACCACATCGCTCGTTTAAATAACTCCGTCATAATGCAGTATCTCGGCGAGAATGAGGTAAAGGCACTAACTCTTCTCAGGATACTCACAATTTATTAGTCTACATGATATTCATAGTCTTCATTCAAGATAGGTTTTGTCAGTTGAAAAGCTTCATTAGTCAGTTCCAGAATTAGAAAAAATTTCAAGAAATGCAGTCAATGGTAAAAGCTTATATCGCAGTACGTTCTATTGACCTTCATTACATACACTTCATTGCTTTTTTAAACTTTTTTCTTTAAGTAACTAATAAAAATTCAATAGTTTATCTTACTACGAGCACGATTGTTAAATACTTGTCCATTTTCTTCTGAATTATCTGCTAATGGTTGTGATTGTTTCATCTAGGCCAACGAAATTGAATCAATCAGAAAATAATAATTAGATCAACCTACAGTTCCTGAACTTTTATTTTCACGCATCATTTGTCGATTTTGAATAGTTTCAGTTACATTCGATCGGATTGCTTGACTAAAAATTAGATATTCTATCAAATTTCTATATATTTTTGTCAGTGATTACTTGAATAGTTGACCATGGGCATTAGTTTCATGTAATTTTCTTTCAGCCGTTATTTGTTTGGCTGGCTTGATAGTATTTGAATTTTTTAAAGTTTGTTCTTCTTCTTCTTCTTCTGATACTTCATTAGGTTTATTCGATGAAATATTACCAGATTCAGCATCATCGTAATCATCAGGAATATGATCTTTACTAGATATGGACCAACTTGTGTTTTTCATTTGTCTATAATTGATTGGAGTTTGTCTAAAATATTCTCTTGTATAAATAGATAGATAACAAGCGTTTATTTTTACGTATTAGCATTAATTTCTCTTAAACGAAGATTACCACTGATTGTATCTTCCAGTGGACCATCTAAATGAGTTCTCTAATTAAATTTAAAATAAATATTAAAAAAATTGTGATGTTTTTGTTTATATAGTTATTTTGAAAGATGATACCTGACGATGTTTAACAATAAATGGAGTTTTCAATAAGTCAGTAGCAGTTGGTCGTTTTTTTGGATCTTTGATAAGCATTCTAATCAAATTAGAATTTATATCTTCTACGCAAATAGGACTTGTAGCTGACAGATGTATAATCTGTTGTTTCTAACTTTATGAATCAATATTATCGTTCAAGAAAGATCTTTTTTTTTTAGAAAAAAAGCGTTAGATTTCTTTTTCTTCAAATCTTTCAATGTTCATAGGAGATTTCTAATTTATAAGACTATGATTACTAAAATAAATAATCGCTTTGTTTAAAACAAAACAGAAATGAATTTAACATATCATTGTCATCGTTTCAAATCTATAGAGGGAACATATCCAATAGTTGGACGCTATTTACCTTCATACTTTAGCAATGAGAAAGATTCAATGAAATTAAAAAATTTCAAAATGCATTTGGATTCATGTCCTATCTAACAAGATTCATCCTCGTCCTATAGTAGGTTTTTGGCCTATCCACTAGCTATTCATCGAAAATTCAATTATGAAATTTTCATTTGAAATTTAGCTGATAGACAAATCTCATGCCATTAGGATGTTCTAAAAATTTTAGCATAAACGAACATATTTTTTTCTTAAGAAATCGAGTGCCTAGGCTAAAAGTTGTAAGAGTTTGTGATGGTCATGATATCTGTCTTTTAACAAACTCTTAGTTAAAAATCTCACAAAGGAGTTTTCCATCGATAGCTGACCTAATGACTGAAAACCTGCTCAAACAGTCATCATTCTGGTTGGATAAGGCTGGGAAGCGAACCTTTTTAGGATTTTCTTAATTTCATTGACTCCTACTCATACACAGAACTATGGAATCGAACAGCATTCGACAATAGGACATGTTTCTCCACGAAGGATGTTTACCTTGTAATGCAACATTTTAAAACTTGACTCCAGATCTAAAATTAGGTTTTAATGAAATATACAATTAAACTTACTTTTTCAGTACATCATTTAATTCTTTTGAATATGTTGTTGGAAGTTCAGGTGCTTTTCCTTCTACAACTTTATATATAACATTCATAAGACCTTTACCACCGAAAGCATGTTCCCAAGTACACATTTCATATAATAAACAACCAACTGACCTAAACAAAATATATAAAAATCTGCTTATATATATATATACTAGTGTTCCAACTGAGACAATGTTCAATATCAGATTCGAAAATGGATGCGTCCAAATTTAGATCGAAGGAAGTTTTTCTTAAAACCTTAATTAGTCTCTAGATAGATGTTGAATTCGAATTCTTATTGATGAACTGTGTTGAAATAATAGCATATCTGGTGTTGCAATTACCAACAGAGAAACTAACGACGAAACTACTCCAAGTGACATCCGTCATTTAAGTTCATATTGGACCTAACGACAGATCTCACGTCAGTGAGACTAGCAAAAGTCTAAAAGGGTTTTGTTCTCATGGACCTTTATAGAAAATTTATGAGAAGTTTACTAAATTTTTTACCCAGTTTTAGGTCGCTACTCCTCCGAAGGCTAAATAACCGAGTTTTGATCCAAAATGTTGTCTACAAATAGGTCTAAGGACTCTTAGAGTATTCTAAAAGATTCAGCCGAAAACAATGTTTCTTCGTCATGTTACTAAATGCTAAAGTGAACTTGATTATTGTACCAAAATGCTATTTTTGGAAATTCAGTATCTTGATACAAGAACATTCTTTTCGTCAGAATCCTTCAGGACATTTTAAGAGTCAGTAGACCTATCTATAGGCAAAATTTTAGGTCGAAATTCTATCATTTTGATTTTTTTGGATTACCTATAAATGAATCGAAAACTCAGTAAACCGATTGTCACCCGATGACAAAGCCTTGTGAGTTAAACATGAGCTCAAACAGTGGATGTTAATTGAAGTAGTCCCCTCATAAGCTCGGATTCAAACACTTGTGGATAACATTCTATCATTGCTATTCTTCTCTAGAAAATTATCCATCACTTTGCGAATCCTACTTTACTATCAACGATTTTATTATCTGAACTACCATCGTTTCAACACAATTCATCAACAAGAACTCGAATTGAATATCTATCTAGAGACTAATGTACTTTTTTAACAGAAACTTCTTCACCGATTCGACGATGAATGCGTCTATTCTCAGATCTCAGATCGAGTATGATCTCAGATTAGACGTTGGCATATATATATATATATATGTTTTACTAATCCTACCAAATATCTGATTTTGATTCATATCCATCATGTTTCAAAACTTCGGGCGACATGTAGTATCTTTAAAAAAATAAGAAATAGTAAAACAAATTGATTAAAAAAAGAAATTCTCTTGTTAAACATACGGTGTTCCAGTAAATGTTGTTGCTACATCCATAGTTCCAACTAATATTCTACTTATACCAAAGTCCCCAATTTTAATATTATTAGATTTAAGAAATATATTCCTTGCTTTTAAATCTCGATGTAATACTCTTGATTTATGCATATATTGTACAGCGATTAATATTTGTATTAACCATTCAACAACTTGATCTTCTTCTAATTTACGATTTTGCTTTTTTAATTCTTTTAAACGATGATCGAGATCACCACCTTCACAATATTCAGTTACAATGCATAAGCAATCATTTTCAAGAAAACTTTCATAAAACTACATGAAAAAAGAATTAATCGTTTTCAAAAAAAAGTCTTTTTCTTTTTTACTTTAACAATATGTTCATTCTGTAAACTCTTTAGAAGTTGCGCCTCATTAACAGAATCAATTGTTTGTTCCTCATCCATTTCACCTAATCGAACAACCTTCAATACTTTTCTAAAAAATATTGACTTCATTCCAAAAAACTAAACTCTAATTTTCATACGGTTCATGTTTTGCTTTTAGATCAGTAACAAGATAAGCTGTACCAAAATTTCCAGCACCAAGTTTTTCATCAATTTTATAACGTTTTTTATAAATCTGGGGTTCATCACTTGCTGCCATTGTTAATAATAATCTGAAAGAACAAAGACTTTATTAATCACTAATACATATTACATAACATATTGGTAATTTTCTAGAAAAAAAAACATTGGTACGATATGTTAATTCATTTTCTGATCACTAGCAAAATATTTGTAAGCAATTCAATGTATTCTTTTGGAATATATTATAGCCTATGTTTTTAAGTTATACGAAATTTTATCATAATTTTATTTTGCTTTTATGTTTTCAACGATGATTTAAGTGAAAAAATAAAGAATAAAAATCTTTCTATCAGAACGTTCGTCATAGATTCTATCAAGTAATTGAATATGAAAACACTGTGTTATGGATTTTAGTTATCGAAATAATAAAATAAAAATATGAGTCGAGTCAATATATGGAATTAAAAATAATCCTTTTGTATTAAATTAACAAAGAAGTTTTCTATGTTTCAAAAAGTTTTCAAAAAGATCCTTTCATTAGTTTTTGTTTGAAAAAATTCAAGATTTCTCTAGATTTTTTTGGAAGCATTCTTCAAATCTAAAATTAAAAAGTAAATATTAGATCTTCAAGTTACTGAATTCGTATGAAATAAATTACTATGAAATAGATATATTTTATCTTACTTAAATCATCGTTTATTTGATTAAATTAAATTTGTACAATTTAACTGTTAAAGCTACATTAATGTTTTTATTCGTTTACAGATTGTTTTTACTGCTTACTGCATCATATCTTGTTACAAAATAAATATCTAATGTATTGATTTAACTATCATTTAAATGATGAAAATGCATTTAAATACAATCTTTATGTTAATCATAAAATGATTCATTTGATGAAACAATAATAATAACTGACATATCAAAGATTTTTTCTAAGGATAAAGTAACAAAAAGAGTCTTTCTTCGATGCTTCATATACTTCTCCTAATAATATAAATTCTATCATACCATCTTTTGTATTTTATTTCTTCTTGATTTATTGATAAAAATATATTATGTAGAAATGCGTTGCATTATCGAAACAAATGCATCATACTGTCATCATAAAGGTAAAACAAAGTAAAAAAAGTCATTTTGTATGATGTTGTTGTCTACAGCACTCCGGTTTTTTTTCTGTTCTTATTATTCATAAATACATGACTGTGCCCATTGACGAACTAACAAGCAATGAAATCATTTTAAATAAAATTCTTCCTTTTTTTTTACAAAAAAGAAAAAAAAAATAAAAATGCTGAATTTGTAAAAAAAAATACAATGAAACCTTTCAGCTCGTTTGCAATGTTAAAAGAAATAATTGTTTGCTTTGTTAGATATAAGAAAACATTGTCTTCATTACAATACATAAAACAATTGGGCTAATCATAAATTTTTTTAAATCAAAAGACTTTATTATCATTAACGAAAACACAAATTGGAGAACTACTCATGAATAATGTATTACAGGAAAGAGACTTCGAACTAGAAGTATCATATATATTGAATAGACAAATTTCACCTTATGACAGCAATACTTGAATAGATACTTGAGATAAAAGTAAGCAACAAACACGTTGAGAATTTTTTGCTTCATTCATCGTCAATACCATTTCGTGAATTTTGTTTTGAATAAACATCATCTTTTATCTATCATGTAGTTTTATGAAATCACAAAATAAGAGAGTTTGTTTAACAATTCGAATTTGCTACTGTGTTGCATGATATTTTTAGTGCCATTGTATTAATTAGAAATAATTGCATCTTATAAGAATGTTTCTTAGTTTCTTCTAATCCAATCTATCGAGTGGCAAAATGATATATATATATGATGGCAGTGAAAGAAGGAACATTCACTTTATTATTATACTTTATTAATGGGGTTACTATGTAATAATTAGTAATGAATTATTCGAAGTTCGAATAATGAAACAAATCGACATGTCTTATTGTCGTCATAACCACGAAAAAATTACATATATATTCTTAATTGTTAATACATTCAATTTTTTTAAATGAAAGAGTAAAAAACTCAGTTTTCTTGAATTCATAATTACACAGGAGCCCAAACGTCACTTGATGTGATAGTACTAAATTCTTTGACGTATTCAACTGATGGTCGATTTTGAATTCGAATATTACGAAATGAAAAAGTCGCACCGCAGGGAATCTGATGAAGGAAAAAATAAATTATTGTCCTACGAAAACCTTGAACCCACAACCAAATCGAGCTTAGGATAATTGATGTTTATCTTATTTATCTTGCATAACAGAAAATAAAATAGAATTAACAAGTGCTCAATATTCGAATGAATAATCTAGTGAGTACATGTCTATCTCATTTTAGGATGAGAGATGTAAGGAAATCTGATTTCTTTAAAATAAATTAGTCCCACTTGGAGCTTCATTTCTGCAACGTTGAACTTTGAAAATCGATTTTGATTTGAGAACACTAATGGATTTTGTTGAAAAATTCACTAAGATGGCCATAACTGAACAAAAACGATGCATGAACAATAATTATATTAGGCTTTCTCAAGTCCTTATATGGAGTCTACATAATGAAGTAATTTTCATTTCAACAGCAACTCATTATTTAACAAGATTCCTTCATTAATCTTCTTCTGACTATGCGACTTATAATGGGAGTCTTCCAAGTAGTAAATCGCTTTTGAATCGAAACTGTATGCAGTAAATCGATTCAAATGAACCATGAATACCCTTAAAAAAATTCTATTCTTAGTTTATTGTTGCGGAAATACTCGACTTTTACGGTATTTTTTAAATGAATATAGTTGTTTCCCTCAGGAATACGAGAAAACTGGATTTTCTAATTCCGACTTGGAACGTTGCAATGAAATAGGCCTCAATGAGAATGCTTTCTTTTGAATGTTTCAAATATTGCCGCTGTTCCCATCCTAAGATATAGCTATGATAATGGAATGTCTCAGTGTTCATCGTTTATTCATGTAAATCGTCAAATTTAATCTTCTTATTTCGGAATAGAAGCAAATCAGAAGACCTCAGACTTTCATAACAAACTATTCTTGTTAAGATCTGTCTTCATGCAAAGTTTCAATTCGAAATTCAAAAAATCAGTTTTACGAATGTTCCTGAAACGCACCACGACATTCATTTGAAAAAAATATTTCAAAAGTCCAGCATCGTCACAGCAATAAGATAAGATTACGGACCATGCTCAAGGTATTCACAGTTCATTTGGTCTTACTTAGTGCACATTGGTTCGACTCAGACGTGATTTATCAGCTGAAGGACTTGTCTTGTTAGTTGAAAATCTGCTGCAGCTCACGATGGAACCTCAAGAGCAGTCTTCTTCCTATCACAATGATTTTTTACTTCTAGATACTACCTGTTATTCTAATAAAAATCCTAAAAAGATTTGAGTTCATATTGATTGTTAGTAAGCTATAGAGTTTTTAATATGCCTGTTTTGCACGTCCCATGTTTTTGAAGAACTCGTCTTTTTGAGTTTTCATATGAAACTCATGCGCCTATAAGGATCTCATCTAGACTAACTTTCATTAAAAAAAATTCAGAAGTTTTGAATAAAAACAGTTTCAATCATATCTATCGAAATACATCCTCTCTGTCTATGACTACTGACATCTATTGTACTAATAGCTGTTTTGTGATGTCATGTATTCGACATCCAATCGACCTTTGTTCTTGATATTTTAAACATTATTATTTCCATTTAATTTATTTCATAATCGAACGGAATGTCTTCATCTTCAACACATGACTTTGTTTCAACAATTCTTGCTAAACCAAATAAAACATCAAATGATTTACAAGAAATAATTAATAAATGGAATGATGATTTATTACAAAATGAAGATTATCTTCTTCAATATGCTCATCAATTGAATCAAAAACAACAATTACTCAATAAAACAACTGAATCATTAATTCAAACTCAAGATTTATTAACAAATCTCGAAGAAAATTTAGATCAATTTCAATTATCAATTCAATCATTATCAAAATATAATGATGAATTACAAAATAATATTGAACAATTAAATAAAGAAAGTAAAAATCTTTTACCAAATATTCTATCAAATCATAAAATAGAAGAGGATCGTTCAATAACTTCTGACCTTATGGAATCGGTTGATAATCAATTGAATGAACTTGATAAAACGATGAAACAACTCTATGAAAAACTTCAAATAAATACAGATAGTTCAATTGTAAATACAATAGATGATTTACAAACATGTTTTCATGATATTCATAATATTCAAGAATCAATGAAACAAATCAAATTATAAAATAAAAAGAAAGACAAACTTTATTATTTTTTTTTCTTTGTATTCTAGATGAGTTTTTTTATAGCACCTACCACAACAACAACACCATCAACTATTCCATTAGCAACTACAAGTACGACAACAACATCAGTACCAGCAGCAGCAACAACAACAAGTAAAACAGTAACACGTACATATCGTGATTTTGAACGTTTATTAACAAAATGGCAAACTGATTTTGATACCAAACATCGTTTATCATATGAAAATTTATCACAATCAGTTCGACAACGTGATATTGATTTATCAACATATCGTGAAACATTACAATTAATACAACGTGATATAAATCATATGCAATTACAACAAAATCATTTACAAGATGAATTAAAATTATTAGATACACACGATAAAGAATTAGAAACAAATATTATACAGTTAGAAAATGATATTTTACAATTACCACCATTACAAAATGATATTTATTCAATTCAACAACAAAATTTATATTTAAATCAAAATTTACCATTTACTTTTAATGAACGTATGAAAAATTTTCAATTAATGGAACAATTAGATTCATTAGTTAAATGTTCAACAAAAGATTTACAAGAAATTGTTGATAAAATGAATGAACAAGATGACGATAATGATAATGATACTGAATTAACAACGAATCAAAATCTCGATACAACACTTGTTAATGAACAAAATATAAAACAATTAACAAAAACATTAGATTCATGTTTTAAAATGTTAGCTTTTA